TGTACAGTTTTCAAAAGGAGTAAAATCAAAGTTCAGTGATGAACCTCTCGGACTCCTCCTGAAGACCCAGCCGCACGGCTGCTAAGGGCAGGGCAGAGGAGGACGTGACCGGGGATGGTTTTCAAGCGGAACAGACAATTCTACAGTACCTTGGACAGCTCAGTCATGGGGAAACCCGATGGAAGACCTGGAGAGTCAGGCCTACCTTAGAGAGATTGCAAGGCGACGCACTGTACAGTTCAGAGTCTGATGGAGAATCTCTAACCATATTGTCCTTGCACTTATATACTGAAGACTGAAGATACTCATCCTCCAAGAAAATGAGATAAAGACTCAAAAACCAAAGCAAAACTGTAAAGGTGGGGATAAATGGGGGGGGCAGTTCAGTAGGGAGTAAATCAAACCTCATAAGGAATATCTGCTAGTCTTCTGTAAGAATCTTCCTGAAACCCAGCACAATGCTAAAATTCCTTGTATTTATCACTAACCCAAAATGAGATCTGCATTCAACAGAGTTCGCAAAATTTTTATCATTACTGACTGCCGGCTGCAAGGTGTTTGGCTTAAGTTAGAGCTTTAGGAACTCTCTGCTTTTCTCACTGTTTCAAGCTATACCTTAGCAAAGAAGGTGTCAGTGGAGTTTTACTTTTCAGATTCCTTTAAATCTGGAACACAACATAAAACCAACAAATGAATCCTTGCAAAACCAGACGAGGAAGAATAAAACAGTTGGCCCAAATCTCCGCAAACTGAAAGCACATTTTCTGCTTTAATAACAACAGTGAGCTAAAGCAATAGGTATTCCTGAAATGAAATGGAGAGTGTTTTAAGACAGAGCTAAAATACAGGAAATGACAACCAAAGCAGGTGAGATATCCTAGGGAAAGGGAGAAGTTTAACACATACAGGAGAAATACAGCTTGCATGCCAAGAAACATATGGAGACTACGACACAATAGATGATGTTAGACAGTTGGCAGAAGCTGACCATAATGACCAGAAAGTTTTTCTTTTTAAATTTAGCACAAATGCAAATATAATAATAACAATCAAAATATGAAACACATAAAATCCTATCACACTGAAAGACTGAAGCTTATTATTTTTATTCATAGCACTATTGCACATTCACATCCCTCTGGTGTGTATCTTACCTGGAGGGCCTTGTTGGCCAGGCTGGCCTGGGGGGCCAGGGATATATGCATTAGATGCAAGCACTTTTTCACCAGTGATTTGCTTGCTAAGATCAGCAGCGTTATTTGGTAGCAAAGCAACCTGCCAAAACCAAAAATCACTGTAAGCCCTTCATCATTTGGCTGGATAAATTACGTTCTTGATTAAGCTTTCCTGTGGACAAACAGCATATTTAAATACTTCAGGAAATAGAAAATGTTTAATCGTATCCTTCATTGAAATCATCAGAAAAAAATATTACTGCGTGAGGCTGTTCACTTTTCAAGTCATTGTGGAAATACTGCAAGTCAATCCAAATGGACGGCAGGAGAAATTCAGGAGAAATACAGCAACAAGTTGTCAAAAACTTAAGTCTCATAATTGCTTGGATCTTCTCAGGAAACCTCTTTTTCCTTATTTGAAGTCTTCTCTATTAATTTACTGCTCTTTCTCAGGGCAATATTTGCTCAGATATTTAAGTTCTCAATTGCTGCACAACCTGCCAACTTTTCACAGGTTTGAATGAGAACCCCAAATCCTTTGTAGATCTGGCCCTGTAACCACACTATTTAACCCAACCAATGTCTGAATCTGCTCTGCACAGAGGCACAAAGCTAATATAAGTGAGACTTTAAGGAGAATTGCACACTGCATTTTAAAATGTCATTATCCATTACATCAGATGTTTAATTATCCATGAAATATTAATCTGCCCAGATTGAATATATTTAACAATTAAACATATTTAGAAATACTCTGCAAATGTTTAGTCTCTCCAGAGGCAGCTGCAGGGAGTTGATGAGCCAGGAGGCTGGTCTGCAGCAAAGGAAGAAGTTTATTAGCAGCGAGTGGCTGCATGTAGACTTGGGAATTTTGGTCTGCCAAACGGAACTGAAGAGCTATTTCAGCAATACCAGGGCAGATCTATCCCTGGGTCAGCTTTGTTGCTCCCTGAATGAATCTGGCTTACTGGACAATCTGATGCTGGATTCTGCAACATTTACGTGGAAGAGCTGCATTAAAATACATGATGTCTCCTGCTATTTGACAATGCTTTTAATCAGCTATTTGGAATTCCCTGCACTGGACTGCTCTCAAGACTTCTTGTTTCTGTAATTACTTGATATACACCCCTCTAATGTTTGTAATGCACAGGAAAAAAAAAAAATGCAGTACATACTATAACTGGGCAAATTTCTTTCGGCAAACGAGTTATTATTTAAAGAATCCACTTTAAGGGCAGCCAGTGCTGCTTGCAGTTTGGGGTTGGATGCACAGAACAGTTCCAAAGGAAGCAAAAGTGAAAAAAAAAAATAATTAGAAATGCTGAGACGGTTCCTGGTGGCATTTCCAAAACACTACTTTGATTTTTCAGACTGGAATTCAAAATGCGATGACAGGAATACCAGGATTTATCAGCCATTTGTGACTCAGGTTTTAGAGAGCATTGCTGTTCCAAAGACAAGATGACTGTACCAAAAGCAAATTAAGCAACATGATGTAAGTCTTACAAGAATTTGGTAGATTCACTCCACCCCCACAGAAATCAGTGGCTGGATGAGGTCAGCACTTCACAGAAGCCCCATAGGGTGTTTCTTATGTGCTTACTCCTATGAATCTGCTCACATAGAAAATGGGGATCCAGCACACCTACTGCTCTGGGGTGGGCTGTCATCTTTGGTTTTCTGAAGAAAAATGTCATCTTTGTTTACCAATGTCCCTGCAGCTTTCTCAGGCAACATCCCAGCCATTGCCACACAGACCAAAGCATAGGACTGCTGAAGATAAAGAGCTACTCCACAGGTCACAGCACCTTACACCTGGGGCTGAAGAGGAAAATGCAGTAGCTGGGGGCTCTCATAGCCACATCGGCCAGGAACCAGCACAGGGATGTCCACTGGCCAGCTCTGGTCAGCATGCTGCAAAGTTTTGTTTCCCAGAGGTGCGTCCGCCCTGAAAAATCAACCAAGGGCTCTGCAGTGCCAATACAGCCATGCTAAAACCGAGACACAGAGTTAAATCTTGTGACTACATGAGAGTATTGTATTTTTCGGACAGTTTTTGTGAGAATATTTTCAGAGTCATCAGCGAGTGTTTCTCCTTAGGGGTGGCCACAGCTGAGTGACAGGGTAATTTATGTCCTTTTTAGAGCTTGTATTTAAATTTCTGACAAGATCCTGTTTTGGGGATCTGTTGCTATCCCAGCTGATAAATAGACATCACTTAGTATATAGTCCTTGCCATGAATACTCTTCAGGTTATATTGCAAATGGCCAGACTGTAGTAAAAAAGATGCATTTAGTGGCAAAGACTCATCACAAAGAGGATTTGGAACTGTATTCTTTTCTGTTGCTTAAATATTGACTTGTTTCTGCCAGAAAAGCTGTTGTAACAACTTAGTAAGTTTAAAAAAAAATCACATAGCTGCTGTGAAAGCATCTACACATACTTCCCAACTGAGTCAGCTGGACTTGAAGCATACACTAGGAGTGCCAAATACCCAGGCTCTGGTCTAGCTCACTGCTCTTTGATATCTTCTGGCCAGAAACTGGTTGTTACATACACTGGGGCCAAACCATGTGTTTTTGATGTTGACTCACATCCTCTTAGGGATTGGAAATACTCACTGGCCTAATTTCTGTTTCACCTTTTAACTGAACCAGGATCCTGGTCCAAAGTGACCTTGGGTTTCTCCATCCACAGCTCCAAATCTTAATGGCCCTTGGAAAATGGCTTTTTTTCCATGTGCGTGCAAATATTAGCAAGGGTAAATTTTAAAGAAAGACAGTACTAGAAACAAGACTCCCATATGCTGTGTTGCATGCTTCATCTGGAGTTTTGGGTAGTTTCTAGGAAATGTGTGGTTTAGATGACTTTGACAGTGCTTGACAGGAGTGATGTGGAACATGGCTTTCTAATTAAGATGTTTAAACACATCTGTACAATAGGATCCAGCTTACTTGTTGGTTTTTTTTTTTAAATTGTTGGCTGTGTGTCAGCAGGTCAGATATCTTTCCCCCAGTTTTTCAGCTTTCCACTCTTCTTGCTTCCTTCAAGGTCTGAGATCAACCTAGGACTGCCCCACAGACCCCTAGTGTATTGGGACAATGCATCCCACTGGGTGACCGTGCAAGGTGATTCTCTGTTCATGATCCTAGAACTACTCTGTCCTGGATCTGGAATGGATGTTGCAATCCTCCAAAAAGGTATTGGTGCCATCACCAGATTTAGCGGGACTTGAGTTCACCCCTGTCCTTTCCTAAAGAGACACAAACCCGCACCTCCAGCTTCCAGAAGCATACACCAATTCCCAGTTGTAGGGTTTGCTGGATTGGATCCTTCACAGGCTCTTCTGCTAAACCTAATTTTGCATAAAGTTCATAAAATCTGAAAGCCTTAACCACAAGACTGAAGACTCATTCCTATAAACTGTCTCTCTGGCATACAGAAATGAATTTTTCTGTGCAAAACAAAACAGCTTCAACCACAGATAGTGAGAGTTGTCCTCCCCAGAACTTGGTCATGAGGAGTGGCTGGTGAATACAAGGGTTCATGTCTCGCTGGGCACAGAAGCAGCACGAGGCCAGATCTCCTCTCAGCATGGAGAAAATCTCTCCTCTCTGTAGGGCAAAAAATGCTGAAGGTATCAGGGGACCATCTCTTCCAGCTCTGTCTGTGTGAGGCACAACCCAGTGGGCTCCCTCTGAGGATGCCAAATAGATCGAGTCCCACTACAAAGATACTTGGGGGAAATTCAGGCTATGGACCATGACAGGACTTAGGCAAGTGAGCTGCTTAGTTTGGCCACAGCTACTGTACAAGTGCTCACAGTGACAGGTATCGATGGTCTTCGTTTTCCAGGAGTGAGTTTTGAACACAGGCACCTAACAGCAGAAGTTAGACACAGAAAACTTTCCACTAATTCAAGCCATTGGCTTCCATCAATTCTTGCAGCAATTCATGCCTTGACCAACAGTGTGACCCCAGATCCCTCATTGGAGGTCAGTGCGAGTCTGCTCAGCATCATGGACTGTGGCTGGACAAACAGCCACTCAAAAGCATAGACCCTTTTTTAAACTGTCTGCTACCATTTTTTTGAAAAACATAATTTCCATCACACATGAAGTTCTGTCACTTCCACATTTGTCTTCATCCTTTCCTTCAGAAGGAAAACGTGACATTTTGAGATTTTTGAGATAAAGAGTATCTCTAATCTCAGTGTATTTCATTTTAGTGAAGCATATTTATTTCTTCCTAATACAAATTACATTGAATGAATAACATTAAATGCAACAAATGAATACATCAGATTGTGTTTTGACACAATGAAATTAAATGAGGACCCTGGGTGAAATAATTAAAGCCTGTCAACATGAATTGCTGAGAATATTCCTGCAGAACATTTCAATTTGAGATAATGTGAATGTTCAAAGGAGATGTCACCAGAAAAGGCATTACACCTGCATCCCTGTACTTGGCTCTCCAAATTCTAGGCTGCGTCTCTGGGCTATTTCAATCCTACTCAAGTGTCACACAGAGGAGCAATTAAAGTTAAAGGCCAGGGGAAGTTTTTAAGTGCATTATTCTCTACTTGTAAGGACACAGGTAAAAACAAAAAAGGTTGCAGCTGAGGGTTTTTCTTTTCTCTGAATCAAAGCTAGTGATGTTTTTGTTTAGCCACGCACCTCCTATTTGGCAAGAATCCTGTATCAGCACCCTAATAATGCAGAATCATGTTCTCCCATTTTCCCACATCTGCAGAATATTTTGCACTTGCTTATACTAAAGGTGGATCAAGTCCAAAATCCTGTGCATTCAGAATGAATGAAAAGCTGAGGCCAGCACAGATTGCCAAGAAACCTGGGCTTAGACTGAGATGGGTGTTTGCCAGACTCTCTTACCATGAGCTTGGTAACACAGCTCCATGGGCTTGGCTAGCAATCTGTTTACAAGCAATGCAGAAGCATAAGAAAAGATGCCATTGCTACAGGATTTCAAAATATATTGCCATCATCTTTATGGGCACAAGAGCCACATGGCAGTGACAGCTCCAAACACTTAAATTTAACCTCATTTGTCATAAAACATGCAGGTCTGGTAAAGACATGGCTGATGAGTGTTCATACCTTTTGCTTCAGTTGTAAAACCGTCTGCTTTATTTGATGAAATTCCTTGCAAGAGGCACAGCATGTCCCCGGTTTCGCCACATTTTCAGATTTCTCAGGAAGCCCAGCTGAAAGAAAGCAGTTTCCAATACAAATATAAAGATCCAAAGGAAAGAAATTCATAAAGTGATTGCAAAACCAACTTGAAGGTTATTACATTTCCCCAGACTGTGAAAAGAGGAGAGAATCTTGCCATTATTAATGCTTTGACTGCGAATTGCTATGTAAGGCTGAGAAACTTTGCAGGGACAGCTCTGAGCTAATTTTTAAAGCAGCTGTTTCCAGTTAACAGTCCCCAAAGAATTTATCTTTTTAATACCTGGAAAAGTTTACACCCCTTCTTTTATCTTTGTGTTTAGAGTAGACTAACCCTATAGATCTGAACTGATTTACAGGCCCCTGAAGGGCAAATTTTCATATGCTATAAATTACAGTAAAATCCCTCACAATACAGTCATTTCATTCACTTTGCACAAACTGCTCTTTATCATTGCTGGTTATTCCTCCATGTGATGGAATCAGCCTGGGCAGAGATGGAGATTGAGATTAATGACAGAGATTTAAATCCACACAAGAGAAAGGGTCACACCTGTTGATACGACGCATGAATGGGATTTTTTTCAAGAATCCATTAAATGATTCAAACTGTAAGAGATATCACAAATGTTATTTTTGTCCTTTTCCCAATCCCATACACAGTGAAGGACTTCTGCATTGCAAACAAACAAGCATTGTTTTAACAGATGTCCGCTTAAAGAGAAACATGGTTACCAAAACACAGGGAGACATATACTGGCAAACTCTAGGTGAGCTTTTTTCCTTCCACGTATAATTGTTGAGAAGTATCAAGTGTATTGAGCCTCTGCATATGATGTCTGGCCTTGCACAATGTTACCTGGAAGGGTTATTGGACACGTTTGAACACTGACTTTTCAGAGCATGTCCTGTAATAGAAAAACTGCAGGTGCTCCTGGTTAAAGCCAGCTAATCTTCAAAACCTTCAGAAAGGATCAACAACAATGCACTTAGCTATTGTGTTATACTTCTCACTTGGACACACACTTTAATATCCTTCATCTTTTCAGAAATATGGATTGATTTTGAAAACATCTGCCTCATTGTAAATACAAACAGAAGTTTCCATTACTAAAGATACTATGTGATACTTGACTTTAAATGTTTCCAGGGTCCAATAAGGAATACTGCATCCATCAGATGGTCGTCTGTGGAATTCTGATGTACAAATTTGAGATAAACTGATTTTCGGTACGTTTAGTCCATTGGATATAATGCCATGTCAGGTATGTTTGCTTTTAGAAGACAAAGATTTATTTCTCTCATCTCCTAATCAGGTAGGAGAGGGTTGTAAGGGCAAGACACTGGAATGACCAGCAGCATTAAGACTGGTATTAGCACTGAACTGATCAGAAGATTAGGAAGCAAAGGCTTGGGGATTTTCCCCACTCATCAACTGCCTGCTCCCACAGCTGGAGTCCAATGGCATTACAATAATACACAATTTATTTAATGTTTTTATGGAAGTAAGCACACTGCTGTTTGAGCTTCCCAGCCCTGATAGCATATGGCTTGGTAATACCTGAACAGCTATCTGTACAGTGTTCAGATGGCTCAAAGATTTAAGGCCAAAAGGTACTACTTGGGGTTTTCCGATGAACTCTACATAACATAATACAATTTCACCAAATTGGAGCCATGCTGGCTCCAAGAATATTTGGCGATGATACCTTCCAGAGGGACTCTAGCCTTTGTGTGAAGATGCCCGAACACACAGCATCCTTTCTCATTGCTGTATTTCTAATGTTAATTGTTTTGCCTCTGACTCCTTCTTTGCCCATAAGTCTTTCTCTGACAGATTAAAGAATCTGCACCATGCAGGGTTTTTTTCCCTTAACAAGGATTTGATATGCTTTAATCAAGACACCTCTTGATATTTCTATAACATAAGTTTTCTCTTGACCACAAGTCAGTATTGTGGCTCCCTCATGGAGTTCTCCCTCTCCAATTCAATTTTTCAGCTTCCTTTAAAAAAATCAGTGTTTTGGCATGTCCATTTTTGGACCTATGTAGGATTTACAGATGCAGATGTATAGAGCCACTAGAAAAAAATGCCTTTTTTTTTCCTTCAAACTCCAATAAAGTTTGGGTTTGGTACTAGTCTTAACCAAAATTTCTTTTAATAGCTATCTTACCAAATGAGTTCCCTTATACTGTGTTAAGAAATGTTGCTGAAAGCAACATACAGTCTTAGGGAGAAACTGCCAGAGCCTCTGCTATTTGAAACCGAATGCAATCCCACTAGAATTAGTGGAATTATGTGCAGATTAAGAAGCAGTGAATTTGGCCTCATGTTTCATTGTAAAATTCAGTTTATCTTCCAGAAGGATGTGGCACACGGGGCTGACAAGTATGGATAAAACAGGGCTGTAACAATCCATGGAGATGAATGCGGGAGGGTCAGCTAATGTTTGGGAAATATCATACCAGTGAGATTTCTGCAAATCCAGTTGGATTGACTTGTCAGAGGAAGAAGTCCAACAGCGTCACACAAGTAAGCATGAGCTGTCCCAGGAGAGAGGTGGAATCCCCCTAACTTGTACCAGACAGAGGTGATGATTTGCCCAGGGAAGGAGTCATCTATCAAACATTTGCTCTAGCCCCATCCAATCCCGTATCAGGACCAAACTACGAATAAAGCCAGAATAAAGCCAGAATAAAGCCAGAATAAAGCATGGATAAAGCCAGAAGCCACCTCGAACAGGCCAGAGGGGGCAGGAAGCAATTAGATGGAGCCACCCACACATAGCGCAGAAACGGAGGTCACCTACCAGGGTCAGTTTGGCCAGCACTAAGGCACTTGTATAGCCTGTTTCCATTGCACAGACCTACGCCAGGAAACTAAAATTATTTCAGAAAAGGCTTAAACCAGCCCCATTTTATAATGGCTTTCCAAAGCACGAAGTCTAGCTCACGCGTGACGTTGCTGTCCTGATGGGGGTTCTTTCATCTCGGCAAGACACTGGTGAGCCCCGTGGTGCCTATTGATAAGAGATCTGCTTGGGGGAGAGATGTGTTTTCTTTGCATGTGCTCGAAGACTCTGTCTTGCTAATGCTGGAAAAGAAGGAGATGCTGGCAGGGCAGAGCTCTGCAGGGAGCTGTGCTGCGGGCGGTCTTTGCACGGAGACTATTGAGTTGATCATCTGTGTTGTATTATCTGGGCTCAGCCTGCTGAGACGGTTTCATTTGCCTACTTCTGCGCGGGTAGCTGTATTGTCTCCATCAAACGAAACATGACTGCGGATGCTGGAAAAATGCTCCCTATTCTTGTGCCCACTAACAAACCCAAAGCTCTCAGTCAAGCCCATTTACAGAGCCAAAAAAGTGCCCGGATTGCAGCCTTCAGGCATGGCACGATGAAAACGTGAATAGTATCTCCCGGGAAACATGCAACATGGTTAGAGCTGGAGAGGGATACATCTGTTTTCATGTCTCTCACGCTAAATTTTATAATAAAATTTAAGTGTTCCAGCTACCATAAAAAGCAAATCATCTGTTTATTAAGAAGTTATTCCAGCGTGGATGCGGTGCTTTCCCGGGGTGATGCAGGGCTGGGGCTGACCACGCGGTGGTGCGGGGCTACAGCCGGTTCCTCACGGCTGCCGAAAACCTTGATTTTCTTTGGGATGAGTTACAAACACAAGCCTAGTGAAACAGTGATGGCCAACTCCTCTTTCATTTGCACTAGAGGTAACATTAACTTGGAGTACAGCGGGGGAACAGAGCAGAAAGTGTCCTTCTCTGCTTTGCACAGCTGATTTGTGAAATGTCTTGAGAGATGGCGGTTATTTAATTCCAGATCAACTACTGGAACTGACATTTTTATGTGCCATGTACATTCAGTGTAAAATCAGTGGTTTTTTTAAATATTAGACTTAGTTCCATAGCCTTGAATATTTTGAATGGTTGGTTATCCTGAATGCTTTGGACATTACCCTGTCAGGAAATTTGAACCAGCCAGAGGAAAATGTAACTAAAAAAACTAATTGCAAGG